GGGGGTACAAAATAAACAAGGAAGGTCACAAGAACTAACAAACTATGACACTACAGAAGATAATCTTATCATCAATTTATCCACTTTTAATTTGGAAAATAAACATATATCCTTGCTGAGTAAGGGTTTAAATTTTGTCCCTTCTCCCACCATAAATAAATTTGAGTGGGTAAAGGACATTAATCTCTTTGGACGAAAGCTTGCTCTTAATGTGATCCATAAGAGAAGAGATAACAAACTGGCTAAAGAATTGGGGTTAAGCTATGATGATTATCAACATCTTCAAACTATGGTATCCCTTCTGGAAGAACAAGACATTAAACAACTTCTCACCAATTGTAAACCGTTAAGCTGGTATACACCAAATTTCAAAGAAGTATCCAGTGTAGATCTATTTGTTCAGATGACCACAAAGGCCCTTGAGTCATTGCCCTCTTTTGATAAATACTCAGACAATCTAACTAGAGCCGAACGTGAGGCACTTAGGGATCTGAACATTAATAAAGATCTGATTATCAAACCATCAGATAAAGGAGGAAACATAGTTTTAATGGACCAACAAAACTATGTTAGTATGTGCATGGAACATTTGAAAGATACGAACCAGTATCAAGCTCTTCCAGGGGATCCAACCAAAACATTTCTTTTAGAACTAAAGGTGCTACTAACCCAGGCATTGGAGAAACACATTATTAGTCGAGAGGAGTTCAAATTTATGATTCCCAACAACTGTCCTATGATTTCAACCTTTTATTGCCTTCCCAAAATGGAAACCATTCTACGGCTCCTGAAATTCATTTTGACCCACAACTACTTTGTGTTTAACGGAACATATTATTTACAACTACGCGGCACAGCTATGGGCACGGCTTGTGCTCCTAGCTATGCCAATTTATATTTGGGCTGGTGGGAGGCAACCATCTTAAAAGAAACAACATCTGGACATTATGACCAATATATTCACAAGTGGCTAAGATACATCGATGATATCTTAATATTTTGGACTAGTTCCTGCCCGAAGTTCATAGATATGGTTAATGAACTAAATGTGAACAATATTGGTCTCAAACTTACACACGTAATTCATGAAACCCAATTGGAATTTTTAGATTTAAGAATCTTATTAAACATTGATGGAACTGTGGATACTGAATTATTTAGGAAAAGTACGGCTTCCAATAGCCTTTTGCATTGGAAAAGTTTCCATCCCTATCGTCTTAAAGCTGGTATACCATACGGCCAATATCTGAGAGCTCGAAGGAACTGCTCAAATGATGAATCCTTCCAAGCTGAAGCCAAAAGACTTAAAATCCGATTTAAAAATAAAGGCTATCCTAATCGTATTCTAAAGAAAGCATATCAGAAAACCATAGCCCAAGATAGAAGTTTGAGTCTTCGATCTACTAGACCTATGTCTACTAACCAATTAACAAGATGTATAGGTACTTTCAATCAAAAATGGCAACCCATTAAGCAAATCTTTACCCAACACTGGCCGATTTTGGAGTATGATAAGGACTTGGATCCTAAACACATTGCATATCCCAATATCACAGCCCGAAGGTCTAAAAATCTCCGGGACATGCTAGTTCATAGCCACTTGGAAAACAAACCTTCACCAAGTAGCTGGCTAAACGCCCCAATTGGCATTCACAAGTGTGGACATTGCAAAGCATGCCCCTTTGTTAAAACTTCTAAATCAGTCATATGTCAAAAAACTCAAAGAGAGTATCAAGTTAAACACTTCATAAATTGTAGTACGACACGAATCGTTTACGTCATCACTTGCCAATGTGGTATACAATACATTGGCAAAACTTATCAGGAATTTAGGAGACGAATTCTCCAACATATTAATTCGGTTAAAAACCTTAATTTAAGTACACCTGTTGCAAACCACGTTCGGAATTTTCATGATGGTAATCCCATCAATTTATCATTCCAAGCCCTTGAAAGGGTTACTTTGAATTCTAGAAAAGGCAATTTTAATCTAATCTTATTACAAAAGGAATCAAGATGGATATATGAATTCCAAACTTTAACTCCAGGGGGCCTCAATGAGGAATTTAATTTTACTTCGTTTATTCATTAAAAATCATGATATTTAATTAAGCCTGTTACCACAGTCTAATCAAATAGTTTTTTAGTATTTTCTCCAGTTTCTAGCTTGGCGGATATTTCCCCTCATTCTTTTCATGGCGAAAGATATCCACTACCATTACATTTGAATTATTGTTTACCATCATCCCTCTTGATGAGGGCTTTATTATATTCACATTTCTTGTCAATCTTTTTAGATTGCTATAATCTCTATTTTTGTTAATACCGTATAGGACTAGCCCAGGCACAACAATCTTGCTGTCCTTTTATCTAGCAAATAAACTTTGATTCATTATCTGCCACCTATGTAATAGATAAACGTTAGCACTGTACCTGTCAACTCGTACTGAGCGGTAACATGCTGCAGTACAGTTACAATTGTTGCCATCTTTTAGAATGATACACATTTTGTGCAATTCTCTCACCAGTAGGTTGGTATTGTAACATGGTTATTATTATTTTTCATATAATTGGGAATAGTTAAATCCCCCTTTTTGTCTCCTATATCTCTGTTTAGTTTGTGGTTTCAAACCATCTTTTTATTAGTTAAATATACTATTGGGTTGAAATATTAAATTACTTATTGATGTCCTTCTGTAATTGGGCGATATTTTTATGTCCGGTTTTTGTGCCCATCAAAATACTATCACGATTTTGTAAATGTCGTGCCGTGGGCTAATTGCTATTACTAATATTGATATGTATTTTTATAAATCTGTAATTATGTTTTCATACCCCATTAGAATAGTGGAGGGCAGGTATTAATTGCCTTTATCAATTTTGGAATTAATTTTGCAATTATACTTTAGGCACCGGCACAAGTTGGGCACTTAAGCCTTATAGGACTAGCCCAGGTACAATAATTTTGCCATCTTTCTACCTAACAAATAAATTTTGATTCATTATTTGTCATCTATGTAATATATAACGTCAGCATTGTACATGTCCATTGGTACTGAGCGATAATATACTGTAATACAGTTCACAACAATTGTTGTCACTTTTTAGAACGATACACATCTTGGGTAATTCTCCCACTAGTACGTTGGTATTGCAACATTGTTATTTTTTATACCATCGGAAATAGTTAAATCCTCTCTCTGTATTTTTGTTCAGTTTGTTTCACTACACTAATTTTCCATTAGTTAAATATACCATTGGGTTCGAATACTAATGTCCTTTTGTAATCGGGCTATACCTTTATGTCCGGTTTGTGCCTATTAAAACACTATCACGTCTTTGTAAATGTTGTACCGTGTGTTACTTCCTATTTCTAATATCGATATTTATCTTTATACATCTGGAATTATGTCTCAAGTTACTATTTCCACACCCCATTAGAAAGTGGAGGGCACGTACCAACTGCCGTTATCAGTTTGGTATCAATCTTGCAATTACATTTTAGGCACCAGCACAAATTGGGCATTAATATGAAGCTCCCCCTTTTTTCAAATGAACAATTCCTTCACATTTCTTGTCGTTTTTGCTTTATTATAAATATCTTCACAGTGCTAATTAATTTATCATGTTTTGTGTATTTCATTCCATCTGTAGGATGGTTTATAAGGGGTTAAAACTCACACAGCTTAGTAGTTTTGACCCATTTGTGATTTCCAGTGACGCTACCTACCGGCTTTGTTCCTATTGGTTAATTATGTATGACATCTTTTGAATTAGACCAATCAAGTGTTTACACTTACCTTTTTATATCGTTTTTTTCCCGCACATCGGTTCCCTTCTGATGAGCTGTGGGCGAAACGCGCGCGTCAGGGGAAAGGGCTCTTTTATATATACTTACCACAGTATTGCTGTCTGTTTAGATGAACTTCAGACTTCGTAGATTTTGTATTTGGATATGTAGCCCTATACTAGCCATACGAGTAGGGGGTTCATAGAGCTTATGCTCTTGACATTTTTCTGTAGGAATTTCTACTCCCTTTGTATGAGTTGGTCAATTAGTTAAGAACAATTTTTCTTTCATTGCATTATTCAGTCTAGTGCAGGTTTTGGATCCAACTTAGCACTATGCCGTTAGCAATTTTTATTTTACACTGTATGGATTGGCTGTTTCAGTTATGTTAACTTATTGAGATACATACTTTAATGCATTAGAAAACCTACTTGGTTTTCTATATACTATTTGGAGATTTATCCTGAAAACTTTTGAACAGGACCTCTTTTGTTCATTATCACTAAATATTTAGAAATAAATCGATCCTTCAGTATTTTATCTAGTACATACATTTGCTTCGATTTTTATGATCTATTTATCACATTTATCATAAATTCATTTTAATTTGTTTCAACATTAAAAGTTATATTTTATTCTGAGGACACTCATTTGCTCTCTCTTTTTCTATTTTTACTACTGCTGTAGTTTCTGAAGGGTTAATCCCTTGTAAGAGTGTATCCTTTCTGCTTCCAATTTTCTTTATTTTTATGGTTCTTTTCCTAAATAATGCTGATGAATTTCTGAATTCTGTATCTTTTTCAAGTGGCTTTGCATCACACTATCAAATGTTGCCATCATTTTGACAAGTTTCAAGTAATTTCCATTATTTTCAGAGTACAGCGTGTCACTGCTGCCCCTTAAGGCCAAGCACTGCTTCCCAAGATATTGAACAATGGCTACAAGCCGCTGAAGAACATTCTGCCAGTGCTGCATTTCAGTTGCCAATAATCTTTGGTATGAATGGTCAATAGTACTTCCAGACCCAAGCCTTGTTAACAGTTCTGTCCAGTTTCCCATAGCAGTGAGGTGAGATGGAGACACGTCATGGGTAGCCAGACACTGGGACAAATTTTTCCAATCATTGTAGCCTCCCGTTGTCAGGCTCATTTTCGTAGTTGTAAAGAGTTTACAACAAAAGCAAAATATTTTGTCCAGTCTAGGAGAATAACTAAGCCACTTCACCATTTCCAAGGCGCCGTCTATAGTGGGTTGATGTAAACCGTCTCTTGGATGCATCTTTAGGAAATGCAAAGTGCTCTTTTGGCTTTGCCGGACCTTTCAGAACGATGGTTTCTTTTAGTGAGCTAGTAAGCATTTCAGGCCAGTCAGCTGGATCAAAGAGGTCTACCAGCGTGCTTTTTCCATTTTCATCTTCTGATGATGATGATTTCTGTGAACTCTCTTCCTCAGTGTTTGTATCACTTTCTATGCCCAAAGAATGTTCGCCCACAGTAGTAGTTGAAGTAGAAGGGTGTGGTTCGACATCTACAGCTTCACGATTCTCTTTAGTCTCGCTTACAGCTTTTAGTACTGGATCAGGTTTAAAGAACCTATTTAATGATCCAGCCATTTTAGAAGTGTCTTCTTCTTGGAGCCTTCTTTTCTTTCGGAAAGCAGCACCAGACAATTTATTTCGTGGTGCAGACATCTTGTTCAATTATAAAAATAACTATTGTAGAATAAATGTACAACAAAAATTATTAATATTCAATTAATATTCTCTTTGATGATCATTAAACTACAATAATACCTGAAAATCATTTAGAAACCTACTGTACATATGTGCGCACGTGTGGGAGTGTGAAAGACGCAAAAATATATGTGTATGTATGAGAGCAGTTGATGTAAACATGAAGAATTAAAAATGGAAGGGGCAAGTGAGAGCTAGCACCCCCCATGCACAGACACACAATCATACAGCGTCACAACATAATTACACAATTACACACAGTCACAAACATTCACCTACAGTCATACATGGTCAGTCACATTACAAAGTAATTCAATCTTCTATCTGGGTCCATGCAACAAAATGTAATGGGGAGTTACTCTATGTACCCCCTCTGAACTATTCCTATCACCCCTTGTTGGCACGCTAATGAAGTGACCATGTTTCATCCTCAAAATACAGATTAGGGAACAGTGCACAAAATAAATCCAGTTTTAAATTTTATGAAGCTACTTAAAATCACCACTACTAGCAAAAAAAAAAATTGGGATTCAGTTACACCATATGGCGATATCCATCACTATGTTACAGTTCCCCAATATCCCCATTCCCCCACCCCACCTCCATTTGGCTACTGTGACATTCACTTTGATTCCCAAAAATTCCCACTTTTAGAAATGAACCTAATAAAACATAGTTCAAATTGTACATTTCATTCAAGAGACATTTTTTATGAACCATTACCACTACATAGCATAGTGGTCTGACATCGCCCCCCCATGTAAGTAGTCAAACCGTATTAGAGCAGTTTGACTTCTTACCTTACATGGCCCTACCTTCACTACATCAGCCAAAAGCCAGAAGATCTCTGCATTACGCAAGAGTGGGCATGGTGGTTGACGTAGTGGAGGTGGAGAGCAGCTTAAAGGAACACTATATCGTCAGGAACACTATACACCTGTATCCTGTTACATTAGTGCAGTCCTGTCCCCGTCCCCCCAACCTCTGTGTGTGGTCATAAAGCGATATTATGTTTTTCCCCCACACAGATCATTAACCTTTGCATTGGGAGGCTATTGTGCCTGTGCAGCAAAACACTGCACCAAAAAGCATCTCCTCATACAGATGCAATGAATCAATGCATCTATATGGGAACGTTAATGGGACTCTCCAGTGCCAGGAAAACATATTAGTTGTCCTGGCACTGCAGGACCCTGTAGTACCCCTCTCCCTCCCACCACAAGTTGCTGACCGGAGTCCAGCACCGAGGGGCAGACTCTGCCTACTCTCCTCCCTCGCCAACGTCAGCCAGCGGGTGAGACCTAATGTGCATGAACGGCAATGGCCACGCATGCGCATTAGACCTCCCCATAGGGATTTCGGCGATGCTGGAGGCCCTCGCAGAGTCGTATAACACACTTTTCGTGTTATAAGAACATGGAAGTCCCTCTAGCGGCTGTCTGACAGACAGCCACTAGAGGAGGACTTAACCCTGCAAGGTAATTATTGCAGTTTATGAAAACTGCAATAATTACACTTGCAGGGTTAAGGGTAGTGGGAGTTGGCACAAGTGGTCTGGGTGCCTGTAGTGTCCCTTTAAGCTCCTCCATGCAGGGCGTGGAGACGTTTAAAGGGACACTATAGTCACCCAGTCTACTTCATCTCAATGATTACATTTGGGGTTAAATCTTCCGGACAGCCTTACTAGAGGCGCATCTGCAACGCTGGAGGCATTTAATGCCTCCATCACGCAGAGCGTCCATAGGAAAGCATTCCTATGGACAATTTGAATGTGCGCGCGGCACTTGCGGGGGAGGAGAGGTGCTGGAATAAGGTAAGCTGCTGAAAGGGTTTTAACCCCTTTCAGCACCACGGGAGGGGGACCCTGAGGGTGGGGGCACCCTCAGGGCACTATAGTGTCAGGAAAACTACTTTGTTTTCCTGACACTATAGTGATCCTCTAACACCAGTATTGCACACAGTGTCTTTACTCTGAAAAGATAGACAGTGTTTACCTTTTAAAAGCCTGCAGCGACAGGCTAAAGACACCAGAACCACTACATTAAACTATAGTGTTTCTGGAACTATAGTGTCCTTAATGTGAAGTAAAAATAGTTATGTAATAATAGCTAAAGATTACTAAATTATATTACTAAAGAATAAAAATATTGGATTTCCTACTTACCACACCAGATAAGGATAAGATGATCTCTGGCTGCAGTCTGGCTCCTGGTCAAATACAGGCTCTAGAGGCTGGGGAAGCAGGAACCAGCTACAATACAGTAGGCACTTGAACATGGCACCTTCTACCACTTTAAAATCCCCCCTCAAGCATGCTCAATGGAGGATGGGGTCAGGTAGTGGTCACTTCCGGCCACCCAGTACACGGAGCACTTAAACTCCACCTCCAGGCTCCAGCAGCAGCAGGTAAGAAGGCTGGCTCTGGCTGTGTGCTGTGTGACCTATCCTGACCCCGAGAGACCACCCACCTTCACTGTTGCATGATGGGTGGTCTCGTGGGGTGGGCGGTCTCATGGGCGGTCGCATCTCTCTGCGGCCGGCCGGCCGCCCTCCAGGACCATAGAGCAGTGCTGTGCCGTCTGAGGCTTTCTGTAGCGCTCAGGTGGCACAGCATGAGGAGGAGTGCCGCACCAGCCGCCCGCCCGCCCATCAATTGCCGGCGCCGCCGGTCTCACTCTGAGGCAGCGCTTGCCAATTCCGGGTGCAGCAGGGCCAGCGCCCCCTGCTAAGTTGTGCCCTAGGTGGCCACCTAGGTCGCCTTACAGGTAGTGCCGGCCCTGCTGGAAGGAAAGCAGCAGAGGAATAGGCAGAGGGGACGATTCTTGTCTGGAAGAAGAGTCAGGTGGAAGAGTTCTGGAGAGACCCCTGTCAAGCTTCAGCGACTAGGGCTAGCAGATTAGATGGAAGTACAGGAGCTCCATCACAGGCAAATGTCCATGCAGGGTAATTCCTCGACTCTCAGAGACATAAGTATGGGACCACTAGTGTTCTAGCAGTAGTCTAGCCTGGCACACATTAAGCAAGAGGTGACCACAGCTTGCATTGCAATTTGTTGAGGTAATGAGGCACAGGTAGTTATACAACCCTATATTTATTTTTTGGGTGATACTAGTGCCCTGTTGTCTATCAACTTACTGTCTGATTAACAACCCACTACTCTTGCAAATATTAACTCCTGACTTGTTGGTCATGTTAGCATTGGTGTTGAAATTACAATATCTGAGCATTATAGGTTCTCTCGGACATAGTGCATGCCAAAAATTTTTGGAGTCTCTGTTACCGGAGGCCTGAGTCCAAGAGCTATCAATCGAAAGAGACCACATGGCCCCCCAGCACTGAACTCTTCCACTCCCAGGGATATCAAAGCCCGGCTTTTGCACTTTCCAATTAAAGAGCAACTGATGGCAGGCGCCAGGAACAATCCACCAACACAAGGCCAGACCCTCCATTTCTACCAAGACTGGGCACCCTCCACGCTTAAAAAAAATGCAGGGACCTAAAACCCTTCACTACCGCCCTCTCTAACCAGGGATAAAAATATATATGGGGCCATCCATTTAAACTCATCGTCAAGAAGAATAATCAGACCTTCACTCTTCATCACACCTCTGAGATGGAAGACTTCACCAAACACATCAGATTCCAACTGATCCACCCACAACTTCCAGGCACCAACATGAGACCAGGCGCAGTCGCAGCACATGAAGGAGGACCACTACCACCTTGTCAACAGCAAACAAATAAGGGATGGGTCTGCGCCAATAAACAGGGTAAATAAATAATAATAATAGTCCTGGTTGGGATAGTATTGATAAAACTGAGTTCAGTAGAGTAGAACTTGGATCCTATTTATGGTCTCTGAAGTTGTGAGGCTCTGCTCATTGCAATATCCAAATATATAGAAGAAGGTGATGGATGATGAGAAAGATGATCCAAAATAGTAAAAATAGGATAGGTCTTACTTACAGTTGGCACAGTGTATAGACTAACTGCTCTATGACAAGGGCATAGGTGGTATAATCCCCACCTAGGATTCCTTGGAGTATAGTACAAATGAAATGAAATAAAAAAATAAAAAATAAAATAATAAATAAATAAAAGTATAGTAATATAAAAAAGATATATGTAAATATATAAATATATAAAAAGCCAGGTAGTAGTCAAAAGATAATGGTACAGAAGTAAAAAATGACCAAAATCTATTTATTAACAGTATTTAAAAGCAGTACAATATCCAAACGCGTTTCACCATATAGGCTTTATCAATGGATAAAAATCTTTTCAACCTGGCTAGTTGTAGGGTACATATAGGTTTGAAACAAATTAAAATTGGCGCCAAATTTGCTCAAACCAATCACAGAGCAAATAATTATTGCACTTAAATAACAACATTTTATGATTAAAATTGCATAGATGTAGCTTATAAGGTACAAGTTATATAATTTTAATGTAAAAACAAGCGTTATTAAAAGAGTAGTCAACTCTCTGGTTTGTTACACCTTGTCAACAGACCCGAAAACGGCCCCCAACAGCCCCTAAGGGATAATCCACAACCATGACCTGAGCTTCCATGGACCACCAACAGACACTCATCCATGGAATGGCCATTCCAGCATGGATCCAGTCTCAGGTTCTATACCATAGGCTACACTGGTACTGAGCAACTATAGGAGGGCGGGGGGTAAGAGACATAGCAGGACACAGCATAGGTAACAAGGAATGCAGACTAAGGGTCTCGAGGGGTAAAAAGGAAATGAATGATACCTGTATACCTATGTATGTTGTTTGCACCAGACTGACGCGACTACCCAGCTGACACTTTGACGACTAGGGACACGCCTGACAGCAGTCAACACTGGAATCCATACAACAATCAACCTGGAGATGCACGGACCATCCATTTACCCTCCACCCAATGCACAACGAGGGGTATCCAACACGTCCCAACCCTCTAAACG